CTTTCGTTTAAAAATGGTTTGACAACTCGCAATTCGGGTGTTCGTTTCGAAAAAGACGTTCTAAGTACAACGCACAGTCGAAATCTGGCAGTATCGTAAAAATCACATAGTTGCAATCTTATTATTTTTCTGGAGCCCAAGTCCCCCGAGTGCCCCCTTCGAAATATACAAATTTTGAAACTGCGTTGGTTGCCCTCTCGTTTAAAAATGGTTTGACAACTCGCAATTCGGGTGTTCGTTTCGAAAAAGCCGTTCTAAGTACAACGCACAGTCGAAATACGGCAGTATCGTAAAAATCACATAGTTGCAATCTTATTATTTTTCTGGAGCCCAAGTCCCCCCAGTGCCCCCTTCGAAATATACAAATTTTGAATCTCCGTTGGTTGCCCTTTCGTTTAAAAATGGTTTGACAACTCGCAATTCGGGTGTTCGTTTCGAAAAATATTTTCTAAGTATACCACGTAGCCAATTCGCCTCTAAACTCATAAATATCTAATAGTTTTAATCTTATTATTTTTCTGGAGCCCAAGTCCCCCGAGTGCCCCCTTCGAAATATACAAATTTTGAATCTGCGTTGGTTGCCCTTTCGTTTAAAAATGGTTTGACAACTCGGAATTCGGGTGTTCGTTTCGAAAAATATTTTCTAAGTATACCACGTAGCCAATTCGCCTCTAAACTCATAAATATCTAATAGTTTTAATCTTATTATTTTTCTGGAGCCCAAGTCCCCCCAGTGCCCCCTTCAAAATATACAAATTTTGAATCTGCGTTGGTTGCCCTTTCCTTTAAAAATGGTTTGACAACTCGCAATTCGGGTGTTCGTTTCGAAAAAGCCGTTCTAAGTACAACGCACAGTCGAAATACGGCAGTATCGTAAAAATCACATAGTTGCAATCTTATTATTTTTCTGGAGCCCAAGTCCCCCCAGTGCCCCCTTCGAAATATACAAATTTTGAATCTCCGTTGGTTGCCCTTTCGTTTAAAAATGGTTTGACAACTCGCAATTCGGGTGTTCGTTTCGAAAAATATTTTCTAAGTACAACGCACAGTCGAAATACGGCAGTATCGTAAAAATCACATAGTTGCAATCTTATTATTTTTCTGGAGCCCAAGTCCCCCGAGTGCCCCCTTCAAAATATACAAATTTTGAATCTGCGTTGGTTGCCCTTTCGTTTAAAAATGGTTTGACAACTCGCAATTCGGGTGTTCGTTTCGAAAAAGCCGTTCTAAGTACAACGCACAGTCGAAATACGGCAGTATCGTAAAAATCACATAGTTGCAATCTTATTATTTTTCTGGAGCCCAAGTCCCCCCAGTGCCCCCTTCGAAATATACAAATTTTGAATCTCCGTTGGTTGCCCTTTCGTTTAAAAATGGTTTGACAACTCGCAATTCGGGTGTTCGTTTCGAAAAATATTTTCTAAGTATACCACGTAGCCAATTCGCCTCTAAACTCATAAATATCTAATAGTTTTAATCTTATTATTTTTCTGGAGCCCAAGTCCCCCGAGTGCCCCCTTCGAAATATACAAATTTTGAAACTGCGTTGGTTGCCCTTTCGTTTAAAAATGGTTTGACAACTCGCAATTCGGGTGTTCGTTTCGAAAAAGCCGTTCTAAGTACAACGCACAGTCGAAATACGGCAGTATCGTAAAAATCACATAGTTGCAATCTTATTATTTTTCTGGAGCCCAAGTCCCCCGAGTGCCCCCTTCGAAATATACAAATTTTGAATCTCCGTTGGTTGCCCTTTCGTTTAAAAATGGTTTGACAACTTGCAATTCGGGTGTTCGTTTCGAAAAATATTTTCTAAGTATACCACGTAGCCAATTCGCCTCTAAACTCATAAATATCTAATAGTTTTAATCTTATTATTTTTCTGGAGCCCAAGTCCCCCGAGTGCCCCCTTCGAAATATACAAATTTTGAATCTCCGTTGGTTGCCCTTTCGTTTAAAAATGGTTTGACAACTCGCAATTCGGGTGTTCGTTTCGAAAAATATTTTCTAAGTATACCACGTAGCCAATTCGCCTCTAAACTCATAAATATCTAATAGTTTTAATCTTATTATTTTTCTGGAGCCCAAGTCCCCCGAGTGCCCCCTTCGAAATATACAAATTTTGAATCTACGTTGGTTGCTCTTTCGATTAAAAATGATTTGACAAATAGCATTTTGGGTGTAATTTCGAAAATTCTGTTCTAAGTATACCCGTGGCAGCTTTGCCTGTATGTCATGAAAGTCGTATAATATGTATATACTTTTATTTTCCTAGAGGCCGCTTTTAAGTCCCCTGATTGCCCCATCCAAAAACTACAATTTTCAAATCTATGCTGAATGCTCTTTTGCCTTAAAATGGTCTGAAAAACATAAGTTTTCGTGTTCGTTTTGAAAAAGCCGTCCTATTAGACCAACTTTGCAGCCGCATGGCACGTAAATCGCAAAAATCGTGTGGTTGATATCGTTTTATAATCCTGGAATTTAAGTCTACCGTGGCCCTTTCGGAAAACTACAGATTCCGAATTTTTATTTGATGCCTGCTGAATTAAATATAATTCGGTGTACCTACATACATTTTGTTTTTCATGCTGAGTCGTCCCTCCAAAATGTTCTTTATAGTAGATTCATCCTTATTGTGTCTACTAAATTATGTGGGGTGTTAAATTGGATTTGTTTTAACTTTTAATAACTAAGGAGGATTGTTATTTGTAATGTTCATTAACAGGGTATTGAACAATTAATGATATATCCCCTTTTTTATGTGTACTGGCAGTATTGGGACATACAATTGTATTCAAAAATATTTGTCATCAAGTTATTCTAAGAATACTAAATGTTATTTTTTAAAAGCTATTTGTAAAAGTTTGATAATTATTAATTTAAGATCATTATGCGAGGTCTTTAACACATAAATATATATAATCTAGTTAATTGTTATTCATTCTATGATTAAATGTTTAAGCTCGTTCCCCATTGTTGACCCTGTAGTTTTATCAAATGTTAAATTAGTTTTGAATATTATTATAGACCATTGGTGGGTTATTGTCGGATAATATAAATTTTTTCCTTAAAGCTGATTTGATTTGACTGTTTGGAATGCACCTGTAGATGATCTTAATACTTTTTGTAATAATTGTAGGTTTAGGGTTTTCTATTCTCATTTTGGTACAATATTTTTGTCTATTGATGCCTATATTTACATTATAAGATGTATATCACTTGCAGTATATATTTACTCAAATTAGATTTATTTACTCAAAATAGTAAAAACAATAGCTGTTTATGAAATCCAATATTTGCAAAAAAAAATTTTAATTACTATCAATTTTTATGGAATTATATTCATACTAGGTAGTTCAGAATTTTGTTTGTTTTATTAATTGCATTAATATAGTATGACATGTCACTTATTAATATTTAATAATATTATAATCTTAATAATTATAATAATTATCATTCTTCCATCTTGAATTAGGTAGGTATATCTGAAAAATAAATATTTTTGTTAAGACTCCTAGTAAGATATGAATAGGCAATATAGTATACAGGAATACGGTTACCTACCTTATCAGAATTGATAACTGCTAAACGTCCGGGAGCTAACTTCACAGACATTAAATTTGAGACTTGAGTTTTAACTTTTAACTAATAAATTAAATTGATCAAATTTGAGTTTTGACGAATATTGTACATAATATATATGTATTTTATTTATATTATGGCATTATGTATTCATAAATTCCGTTGTTTGCATGCTGAAGCTATTGGCCTGCTTTGACATAGGCCATAAGGGGTGAGATAGACTAAACAATAATTGTATTAAATTATTTTAACTAAATTTTAAGAAGTTTGTAAACTTTAATCTTAGTATGCAACACTTTTCTGCAAATGTTGGAGATTTAAAAATTTGTAGATAACTTGTAATTATTACAACTTAGGGCCGTTCTTACAATGTCCGGTAAAGTGTCGGTTAACTTTAACCGGATATTGTAAGAACGGTCCTAAATTATTGCACTTGTCCACATTTGATGACGTTTTATAAAAATACTATATACCTAATTCACATAATATATAAATTTATTACCGTAGATACATTCATAATTTTACAAATAATTAGCCTTGGGTCCAAGAAAGGAATTAATCAGTAGTAGATTTTTTTGTAATAAACTAGCCTGTTTTTTATTTTTACAACAATTTTCCTTTGTCAGTCTGTTTAAATTAATATTGGATCTGAATATCTGATGATAGATATTGTACGATGAAAACATTTTGCTTAACAGTATGAAACAACACATTTGCAATTTAGTAGTTTAAAGTATTTAGTATATATTGTATAATTAGCATTTTAAGTAGTTTCATATTGTTGTTTGTGGATCCAAAAGAAGTAAGTTTTAAATGAAGTTGAAGTCAATTTCAACAGTAAAATGAAATAGTAGTTTATTTTCAATATTATAATTTATTTTATTTATTTTGTATGGCTTTTAAGTTTTAACACAAATCAACTTATCTATCAAACTGTAACTAAAACAACACAATAATATAATTTATGCAGTAGTCATAATAGTGTGTATGTAACTGAGTGACGTAAAGTTGCTCTTATCTCAAAGGCTCAGGTATATCTGCATATGCTGTGTTTCTGGCCCCTGTTTATACAATGTCGGTTCTTTTGATATGGACAGAGGTAGTGTAAAGTTGCTGTTTTGGCAAACAATGTAACCACTTGGCTCTGCCGTTTATAATGCTAATTTTATTATAGTCGCGGAATTTTAGAAGGATAACTGGCTTGCGATTCCAACACTTGCGCCTGGCTGTTAAATGTTACCTATGAATCTATTGATTTATAGACATGTTTTTTAGTTTTTACCAATTTGTATAATTCAGCTTATACATTTGTCACTTTCAAGTAATATGCATATATTTCTGATAAATTGGGTAAATATAGAACAATAATGAAACACCAATAGGTTAGGTATAATATTTTAATGATTATTATTATAATTGTATTACTCTAAAATAACGACAATTTCTGTAATTACTGCTCGGCAAAGTGGACAAACCAATCTATCCAATCCTTCGAAACATTCACCACACAAGCAGACATGGTTGCATGGCCTTAGTACAATATTTGATCCAGTACTCATGCATGCCACACACACCACAATTTCTCTCATGTTTTCAACTGAAAAATAATTTTTAAGTTTAAAGTATTATAATATCATATATTACTTATTTGTTTATACATTAATTTGTATAAATGGTCATATAGAATATAGAATAAGGGAAAATGGCTTATAAGCTATGTACATAATATATCATAATATGACAATGGCACAATGCATAATGCATATGTCTTCTAATAAAATTTCATTGGGTGTCCTTCACATCGTAATAATAATATGGTTATTATTCACTAAACATATTTATGTTATCATTTATATAATACTTCTACAATTTATCTGGCATAAGACTTTGCCACTTGTGTATAATTTATAACTAATAATATTTGAAAAATTACAAACAGAGAAATTGTGCACGATTTTAGAAATTAGTTGAGACAATTTAATTTATAAATCAGGCATAAGACTAAAGTTTAAGTGTATAATTTATAACTATTAACTAATAATATTTGAAAAATTACAAATGAGTGAAAATGTGCAGTTTTAGAAATGAGTAGAGAAAATGTAATCTATCAAATAACGCTTATTAATTATATGTAAATACATGTATACTTTTTAAATATTAGATAATATTTAGCAGAATTTTTAGCCTATTACTGTGGGTAAAATTGTAGAAGACTGGCCTAACATTTTATATTTAAAAATATATACCTTCATCATTTGATCTTCTTATATTTATGTGAGGAAAATCGTTAATTGGATTTATTATTTGATGCTGTGGCTCAAATTCGAATGTCGGCCATACCAATGGTTCTAGAATAAAATATTATATATTTTATCATTTTTATCTTATGTAAAAAATTGTTTAAAAAAATGTATCATTACCAATATTGTCAACCACGTATGGTACAATTTCATTATCTAGCTCTAAAACATAAACATATAACAAAATAAATTATATAAGAAATTTAAATTACCCATTGATAACTAAATAATATTTCAACACCTAACCTATCACTAGTCAGTATATTAACCTTTATCATTATGTTCCTGAAACTCATGCAAAACATCATATGGCATCACATCTTGTTCTTCATAAATGGGCAATGGTAATAATAAAGGCAGGTTGTAATGCCTCAGAACTCCCTGGAAGAATGCTGGTGGTGACTCATATCCAAGTATCACACGATCTCTTGGTTCTAGAATAAATTATTAATTTATCTTATGGCAAAAAAGTAATACAAAAAAAGTCCATGATTACCAATGTTGTCCATCATATTATTCAAAACTGGTTCGATGATTGGTTGAGCAGTCTGTGCTCGTAACTCTAAAATATTAAAAATTATTAAAAAACTTGCTACACAAATTTACATTCAATTAAAAAGCCATGATTACCAATGTTGTCCATCATATTATTCAAAACTGGTTCGATGATTGGTTGAACAGTCTGTGCTCGTAACTCTAAAATATTAAAAATTATTAAAAAACTTGCTACACAAATTTACATTCAATTAAAAAGCCATGATTACCAATGTTGTCCATCATATTATTCAAAACTGGTTCGATGATTGGTTGAGCAGTCTGTGCTCGTAACTCTAAAATATTAAAAATTATTAAAAAAACTTGCTACACAAATTTACATTCAATTAAAAAGCCATGATTACCAATGTTGTCCATCATATTATTCAAAACTGGTTCGATGATTGGTTGAACAGTCTGTGCTCGTAACTCTAAAATATTAAAAATTATTAAAAAACTTGCTACACAAATTTACAGTCAATTAAAAAGCCATGATTACCAATGTTGTCCATCATATTATTCAAAACTGGTTCGATGATTGGTTGAGCAGTCTGTGCTCGTAACTCTAAAATATTAAAAATTATTAAATAATTGATCAGAGAAATGTATATTTTAATTAATAATAAACAGTTGTATAACACAACTATAAGAATTATAATATTCACCTTCATTGTGAACATTAGGGCGCTCTACTCCAAAATTTGGCGTTACATGTTTAGTGTAACCCAAGAACTCTGCTACACTAAAACGATTCTGTACGAGTTTTGTTAGGCCCAAGGTTATTTTTTTGTCCTGTTCGATGCTCGCACGTGGCCTAGGTTGCCGGACTTCTATGCCATCTACTGCCAACCGGTAATCGTTCATGATTCCATGAACGTGAGTAATAAGGTTTTCTGATGATATAAAATTTTTTTAAATGAAAATGATGTATTATTAAAAAACTATTGATTATTTATTAAAATCAACCCTATTCAATGTTTACCTAAAAATAACCATGGGCTTGGATTAGGATTTTGCATGTTCGTCATTAGATTCCTATGGCTGATTTCTAAAACATTGTTAGTTCGTCTGTTTTGATGGCTTACTGACAGCATCTCAGCAAAAATACCTGTACAAATTATAAAAGTTAAATAACTGTAGCTAGCCACGGTGAAACTATAAAATATATTATTTTTACATTTTATAACCTATTATGAGCAAAAAGTAGTGTTACCAGGATTTATTCAAGTGAGCTGGGGACGAACAAATGTTTTTGGCATAAATGACAAGTGGCAGCTATAAGCCAAATCTTTATCAGAATTTTGATATACTTAAATAAATGTGATACATTCTATACTAATATTATAAAGTAGAAAAATTTGGATGCTTGTAACAAAAAAAACTTAAAAACTTCTGGACCGATTTCAAAAATTCTTTCATCATAAGAGTTCTACATTATCCCCGAGTAACATAGGTTAATTTAATTTTCCCCGGTCCAACCTAGGAAGGTGCTCTAACGGTGATTTTGAGATTTAAGATGGAAATGTTTGTTTGTAAAAGGTTACTATTATTATTATTATTATTAAATTAAAAGCAATAGCAACCATTTACAAATAAACATTTCCAATGTAAATCTCAAAATCTGATTTTAGTATGGTTAAGTTAGGATGACGGGGTTTCAGTTATTATGTTACCTGGTAAATAAAATAGTTATTATGATTGGATATAATTTTACACCTGTATTTTATATTTGATCAACAGAACCCAAATAACAGCTGTATTAAAAATATGTTCAGTTTACATTTAACAGAGATTAAGAAGAGGTAAATCCACGGTATTTAATTTGTCACGAGCAACACCGTACAGGATCAGCTAATTCATAAATATTATTTGCTTATATTTTCAAATTACCTGTCAACCATGTTCTTCGATAATACTCCAGGAATTTATGTATGTTTTCATTTTCGTTTTGTCCAATATAGTTTTGAATTTCCGTACGGTACATCCTTCTTATTTCATCAAAACCTTCATCCAGCTTTTGGTTTGGCAATAACGCAATTGCCATTACCATTCTAAATAAGTCATGCACTTTCCTATTTTCTCTGTATAAATTTGTTAGTCCTAGAAATTATTTCCAACAACTTATAAATCATTTTGTATTTTTGTGCTTAAATAAAAAATATTTAATAAATTACAAGAATATTATTATTTTATCTATTCAATTTTTTAATCTGTTATACATAGGTATTCTAAAATTTTACCTAGTTCTTGAATTTTTCGCCATATACTTTGTGATGAGTGAAACCAACACCCTACTACTCTGGCTGTTGGAAAAACTGTATGTATGGCATTGATAGAAGCGCGTTCAAAGTCTGTCATAACAGTTGTCGGTTGCCAAGTAGGTTCAATAATCGTCTTGATGTATAAAAATAGAGCTTTATATGTTTGTTCAGTTTTCCTGGACATCAGTGCATACACTAAAGGAAAACCCTAAATATATATATATATATAATGTATAAGTAGTAACTTTATTGGTTTTTTAAGGTTTTATACAAAAAATGGAATTTAATAGTTATTAAAATAAATGTGTTTCATCTAGAATCCCATTTTACTGTAGCTGTGTTGCATTGTGTGAAAACAAGCTAACAGTAGGTACCAGTGGTGTAGCCAGGAATTTTGTAGAGGAGCTAAGTAGTAAGTATACAAATACAATATGTCTTTTATTTACACTTTTTTATTTTTGTATTAATCTTGATAAATTTATATGGTCAACACGGTCAAAGTGGGGACTATAGCCCCCTTAGCCACCCCCTAGCTACGCCACTGGTAGGTACAATACAAATCTATATCTCAGGCATTACATTACAGATAATCTTTGGTATTTAAATACAATTGTTTTATTTTGCTGGTTTTATAATATCGCCTACAAGATTATGTTAATCAGATAGTAATTTCAAAAACTTGAATTCTTAAAAGGAAATTCTCATTATAAAATGTAATATTATATAAAAGCCAATAGGGTTATACATAAACTAGTTTAATTATGCCATTTATTTTCATATTACTAACCAAAATATTATATAAATATTAATATTTAATCATTTATTTAAAAATATATAATGCACCTACCTTTTTATTTAAATAATGTATTTTATATTTTATATTTTTAGATACATTTTTACTTTAGATAGTAAAATAATGATTTAATGTAAATTTATTTTTTTTCTTTAGAAAACTGTTTTAAGTAACTTATATTTATTATGCAACTGAAATATATGGCTTGTATCTTGTCTTAAGAAATAATTTTAAAAGTATTTTGTATTAAGATATAATTTTAAAAGTATCTTATAAGTTATAACTTGAATCTAGTGCATACTTATGATATATAGCTGGGGTGGCCAAAACAAGGCTCGCGAGCCACATATGGCTCTTGAGTCAGTTTTATGCGGCTCTAAGAGATTTCTATAAATAAATAAACGTTTGTGTATGTAATATTATAATATAATATTATTTAATATTTAATATTTAATGTACCTTCATTTGTCATAAAATGAAAAATGTGTCTTCATTTTATTAACACCTCTTAACAATGTGACTCGCTTCAAATTAGCTTCATAAATTTGTGGTTCCCAAAATTAAGATTAGTGTGGCCACCCGCCCACCCCTGATAGGTACTTAATTTAGTGGTTGTAAATAATTGAGTAAATATTTATTAATTTTATAATTTTGAGATTAATGATTTAAGTAAAATGTATTCAATTACTTTTTAAAAACCTTATTACCTATATTTTTAATTTTAACATCTATATATGGTTGTATAAAAAAACTAAAGATGATTGAGGACTATGTTTTGACATATAATTTGGATTTGTGCACAAAATGTTAGGTAAGCAATGTCATGCTAATGATAATATTTATAACGCACATGTACACAAACTTAGTAATAATAAAACTAAAAATGTGTGGTAAAATTTAAAAATACTCTTAAAAATATATTTGACTATAAATCCTTCAAAAAAAGTTAAAACTATTCGATTTCAATAAAATAACTTACTACGTCATAACTAACACCCATCAGCACGAATAATTGCTGGCATTGGCCACCAAATCTTGGTGCAGCATTAAATGTGCCATCAATAAAAAAATCTGTACCTGTCCTAAGAATACTAAACCCAACATAATGATTAATATCAAATAATATAATACAATATTTGAAGACATTAATATTTACAGATATTTATTTAACTCACTTCCTAACATGAGGTGTCACAAAAACTAATGTTACGCCTTCTTCTTCGGTTGTGCCTATGCTGCCATGAAAAAAGGGTTGGTCTTGGATCACCGTCAAATTTGAGTATAAAGGGCTTTCCATCTGTAGTTTAAACTCATTCATAGATCCAGGGTTTGGTGGTTGGTGGGCTCTTCTAGTACGAGCCATTTGCCGTCTATGACTCGCATATGGGTCTATGTTTATGTTTGCAAATCTTGGCAATGCAGTGACCTCATTATATATTGCCCTTAGTGACAAACGCTCACTTTTTGCACGCTGGTGTAAAATATTTTTAAATTCTCTTAATATCTCTCTTTCCTCGTCATGCTGATGACCAGTATTCAAAATAACGGTATTTGGCTCGGCATTTAAAATTTTACCTCGAGCAGGACAGCTGTATCAAGTAAATAAAATGTAGGTACTATTATTTATTATGCACCAATTTATAAATATATGACTTAACTATATTTTTAACCTGCGCTGCTTCATCCATAGTTAATAGACTCAAAAACTACCTACTGGACTATTTTAATAAAAAGTTATACCAATAAATTCCTTGAGACTTGGGTGTTAATACTAGGGTGTTAATATCTTATTTTATAATTTCTATAGGTAGGTAAGCAGTATAACTCAGTGCCCACACATTGGGTACATATCATAAGACTATTATAATTGGTAGAAATATGGCATATAATTTTTTTTACAAATATATTTATGACAAAAACTAATCCTTGGCACAGGCAACACCTGGCGGGCAATTAGGATTAGTATAAAACTACATAATTTAATATCAATACAACTATACAAGTAACCGACAAAAATATAATATAAATTAATTGGTGGATGTAATACTAGTCCCTAGCTCTGCTCACATCTAAAATATCTTTTTTTCTAGATAAAAAATTCTTTTACTGAAAAAAAAATAATAACTTACTTTGACCGCCACAACGAACACCTAACCACAGAATAGATTTAATCTATTCTGTGACCTAACATTATAACCGTCTCTACGCATTTGATGCTTCCAATACTTATTCCCGTGTTCATCTCTAAGAGAGAATCCTCGACCATTCAAACCAGAAACTTTTTTAATATTTAATCTTTGCATTATTAAAATTATATGGATAAAGGTAAAAATTTTAACTTTCAATTAAAATGTGCAAAACCTTAGAACAATCCAAACTTTATGAATGGACTTTCAAGACTGTGACAGTATCTAATAAATGAATTCCCTAATAAATCCATTTCCATCTCTCTATCATTTCATGGTACTGTACTGAAATAAATTTGCTATCTCATATAATTCTATGTATTGGTACCCTTATTTTCCTGACTAATGGGGGTTTTAATTCTGGTTATTTCTCAATTTTAATTCTTACATAACATTGCATTTGTTAATTAATAAATAACTTAAATCTGAAAAGATAAATAAATAAATAGATTTGAGGTGATTGAAGAAAATCTGAAAATATTTATTACTATATCCCTAAAGATATTCAAAGTAGAAACCTAAAATAGTGGATATTTATTAAGATGTTAGTATGTTACTATCAATAATAATAACAAGTAAACTAGCTACCTGTTAAAAATACACTTAAAAGCTTTATATTGTTCTTTAATAGTAAATAAATTAGAAAAAAAAATAATTGTACAGTTATTATACCAACATTATTACTTGGCTACTTGAGTTAATATGTTATGTATTATCTAAGTATTATGACTTGTATACCTACTAAAAAAATTGAGTTTGACTGTTTGAGTAATTGAAATATCTATACTATAGAATATTATTAATGGTTAGGTTAGGTATTGCTGGTATTTTTACTAATCAACCATCCAATTTGAATGAATTCTACAATGATTTAAATTTGATAATAATATACTAAAAAATATTTAACAAATACAAATTTGATTACAAAGCAATTTTAGAAGATGTTTTTCAGTGTGTTTTTTATGTAGATGAAAATTACAAAATATTGTTATGATGAAAAGTTACTTATAGACGGAAAATAAACTCATTACTCAATCAAAATATAAATTTTAACAGCAATTAACAGCTGAAATGTAGTATAATAAGTTAAAAGACCTAATATTTATAAAAACCAAGTGGTCGAAAGAGTTATTACTTATTAGCAAGGCCGTATATGAGGGGTGTCCAGGGGGTATGGACCCCCCCACCCCCGAAATTTCTTCTTATTTTTAACCAAATATCAAAACCTAAATTCAATCAAATTAAAATAAATATGTTTTAAACAACCCCCCCCCACCCCCGAAAAATTTCTGGATACTGCCTTGTTATTTAGGTTACTATTGATAGTCACATATATACTAGATATATTAGATAATTATTACTTATTAGTAAGAGACAAGAATGTAAGACTCATAGGCGTGTCCAGATCTCATCCGCAGGTCGTGCACAACAGTCAGGGGAGAAAACTTCACCCCCCCCCCCCCCCCCCCAAAAAAAAAAATCTTTAATAAGCTTTATCATCTGATAATAATTAAATAAGTTTTACCTTTTTTATTAGGAATAAAAAACGATATTTCTTTTATCAGATAAATAAATAACTAGGTAGGTTATATTATGAAATTGTAGTACAAAATATTATTATATTTTCGCGGCAGTAATGCGAAAGCACTTCCCGCGGCGCCGTCGGTTCTAAACTGAAAAAAAAAAAAAAAAAAGTACAAAATATTAATTAAATACTATAAAATACAATTAAATATAATTATTTTAATACTAATAATACTTTTTACAAACGTTTATTTTTACGTAATGAAAATCAAAAAACTTAACACGA